AATATATATATGTATATTATATTCTTCTAGCAAGATTGGCCACAATATATATAGATCATCCTCAACCTCCCCCATCCCCCTTCTTTTAATTTATACGACGTATAGTACATTTCATGTTTCACATTTCATAATGCCATGTCGCATTTCGTAACGGGATGATTTTCAAATTCTCTCTGTGTCTCTCTCTTTTTCTCCACTACAAGTTGATGAATCTGTCTCCGATTATATAAACATCAATATTTAAATAATGTGACAAACTGTTCATGAATTTCTACACTAAATACATAGCTATTGCTTTAATATTTAGTTTTGAATTCTCGTATCCTTTTATGATATGATTCAATACATTGCAGCCCACAGTTTACAGGAAATTCGAACGTGCGCTGAAAATTCGCGCTTGCGCTTTGATGTGGAGTCATCGATTGCGCGCGGCTTGCTGATCGAATTTAAAGGGCGGTAGTCGTCGCGCCACGCATGCGAGATGTATGAGTCTTCTATAAACAAAGATGGCAAATTTGGCTGTTGCGCAGATCAACGAGTACAAACTGAGACGTTACCTAGCTTTAATTGGGTTATTCTTAGGTGATTGGAAGGTATCCAAGGATAATTTAGTGCAAGTCGCGCCCAGGTCAAATCTCATACTTGTGATTTCCAATAGAAGAGCGCATTGGATGGTGGTAAAATCAATGTTTATCAACACAGATGTCGCACATTGGCGGGGCGACGACTACCACCCTTTAAATTATTGCATTTATAATAATATGCCATTTATTGCACATTTTGCAGTTGAAAATGATATACTGACGACCTTGGGTGGTATTTTTATCTTTATTGGTTCGATGGGTGTACAGGATAAATCTGTCGATTTTACGTGGATAATTGTGGCACCTTTGAAAAGACGAGTTTCTCTTAGGTTCGACAACGTTACACTCACATGTGAGTAGTCATTCAAATACGCTAATTTAGCACGCACGTCTGTAAAGTGAAACATTGTGCCGAACTTTCGGATGCGAGACAATGATATCTCAGAAAGTAGCAGTTTTCGGGCGAAATACACAAAATCACTGGCCGCCAAGGCAGCACCATTTACTTTTACTGATTTCCATTTTACAGATGAAGGGGGTAATCACGACCAATTATTTCTTCGCGATGGCCAGACATCTGAATCGAAGCTGATAGAGTCATTGAATACGAAAGACGTACGGCAGGCACCCAACACACACTATGACACCATTTCTAATTCGATGTTCGTACAACTTCAGCACACAATTCTACAGTATGATGGGATTATGGCCACTTATGTTATATTTGATATGGCAGGTAAGTTGCATTAAGCCCTTAAGGTAGATCATGTTGTGTCTGATATGGCAGCTGTGTTGTGTGACTTCTATCCAACCTCAACCTATGTTTGTTTCATATGGCTGCTGTGTTGTATGTCTTTTATCCCATGTCAACCCATGTTTTGTCTGATATGGCAGCTGTGTTGTATGTCTTTTATCCCACCTCAACCCAAGTGTGTTTCATATGGCAGCTGTGTTGTATGTCTTTTATTTCATGCCAAACTGTTTTGTTTCATATGGCAGCTGTGTTGTATGTCTTTTATCTCATGCCAAACTGTT